AGCCCCAGGGGGCCTCCTGGCAGGCGCGGGGCCGTCTCCATGGACTCTGTTCCCTGGGTGTTGGGGTCCCGCTGGGCCGTCCCCGCCCTGCGCCTGTGTTTATGTCAGCTCCGCTGTGCACGCCTGTGGCTGAGGGTTCACAGCCTGTGTGTGTGTGTGTGTGTGTGTGTGTGTGTGTGCGTGCTTGTGTGTGCGTGCGTGCGTGTGTGTGTGTGTGTGTGTGTGGAGGGGGCGCTGTTTTCCTGCTGGATCTGCTGTTTGTGCCCCAAGCCCAGGGGCCACAGCAGGCCAGGCCGGCCCTGGGGGTGGGGCTGGGGGATTTATTGGCCTGTATTTTATCTGCCTGCTGCTTGGGCATAGAGCAGGCGCTGGCTTCCGAGAAACCACCCCACTCAGCAACTTAACTGCCACAGAGGCTGGTGACCTCGGCGGGGAGCGCAGGGATGCCCACCGGCTGTCGGGCCCGATTCCCATGTGATGTAACCGCACGCGCCGCCTTTAAGCCGCTCCCCGGCCCTCCCGCCCCAGCTGGCGAGCTTCCTCCACTTGCTGTAAACGTGGCTCGCAGCTGCTGACGTAAGCCGCTCCCCGGCCCTCCCGCCCCAGCTGGTGAGCTTTCTCCACTTGCTGTAAACGTGGCTCGCAGCTGCTGACGGGCACCAACCCTGCACAACCTCCGAAGCGGGCACGTCGAGCCGCGGCTTCCCGGCCGTGTCCCGAGCGCCGTCTACTTAGGAACCTCCGTGTGCTCGTCACGTTTTCGTGGCGGCGTGGGCCGGAGAAGCAGACGAGCTGCGTGCGTTTCAATGCCGCCGGCCTCTGAGGACGCTGAGGGTGCCCATGCCGCCACCCACACTGAGGATCCAGCACCCCTTTAATGGACGTCAAGGCCTGTCTCTGACGGCAAGGGCTTCGTTCTGGAGTGCTCTCTCTGGGGAGGCTTCTTGTGGCTCCAGGGGGGCGCTGCTTGGCTGGGGGCTCGGCCTGGGGTGTTCCCCGAGCCCCTCTCTCTCCTTCCTTCCAAGGGTGCCCTGCAGCCCTGGGCCCGGGCCAGGGGGGCCTTGTCTGTACTTGGCTCTCCTCGCTGCCCCGGGCACTGGGCTTGCCCGCAGGGACAGGACAGCCACTTCTCGCTGGGCCCATGACAGGCATCTGAGGACTGGTTGCATTTATAACATTTTAAAAAATGTAGACCAAGTGCAATGAAGAAACCAGAGGGAGAGCCCTGTCCGCGGGACTAGCGGCCTGGCCCCTGCCCAGGGCCTTCCCTGTAAGTGGTGCGGGCAGGCCTGCCTGGGAGGCTGCTGCGAGGCTGCACAGTCAGTGTTAGCGGAACAGCCGTGGTGAGCGCTCAGGACAGTGCCTGGCACGTCGCAGACTTCCTTAAAGACACACGGGACAGCCTCCAGGGAGGTCCCGAGAGAAGCGTCTCTCCGTGGCCTTCTCCCTTCAGCCCGTCCTGCTCCCTGAGGGAAGAAGGCAGGTCCACGCCATGCCCCCTGCTGGCCGGCTTTCTGCGTCCCTCTGCGGAGTTAACTGCCCGGCTTCTCCTCTCTGTACCGCCCCCCGCGTGGCAGCAGGGGGGTCTGCTGAGCTGGGCAGAGGGTCCGCAGACATCCTGTGCTTGTGCTGGTCTGTTCCACTGTGTACGTGTCTTGGCGCCGTTTCCCTATCGGCGGGTATAGCTCACCCTTTTCTAATGGCCGCACGGTGGTCAGTCCCTTGGACAAGTGACGTTTATGTGGCTGGGCATCTGGGACGCTGGCCGGGCTGTCCTGTCACTAAGGGGCAGGGGAGGTGTCCGGGGGCCCTCGAGCCAGAGCTGAGAGCAGCAGCAGAAGCGACAGGAGCCCAGTTGCCGTCCCACGAGGCCCCTGTGCCCCCAGCAGGGTCACAGCGGGAGGCCAGCACCGCCAGTGACGGGGCAGGTGAGGCCGCCGCCAGGCACTATCATGGTGACTCACTGGGCACACAGGCCAGCCCTTCGCCCCCCTGCTCCTTTCCCCAGTGGCCTGAGCTCGGATCCGCCTAGAACTGGTTCTTATCGATGCTGGGCGCTGAGGCAGGACCAGGAAGTGTGTGCCATTGGCGTCCTGCTGGGGCCTGGCAGAGGGGGCCGGGTGGGGAAGGAGGGCCCGTGCCTCTGTGCCCACCCTGCCTCCTTTTCCACCCTCGTCCACAGGGTCCCCAACCGCCTGCCCTCCCGCCCTCCCGCCAGTGAAGGGGCTGTCGGATTCAGGGCAACTGGCCTTGAGCCGGAGACAGATAATGCAGAATGACCCTCTTGTGACTTGACCTAAACAGGCCCCACCATGTGTGTGTGTGCGTGTGCGTGTGCATGCATGTGCATGTGCAGGTGTGCGTGCAGGGGGGAGGGGCAGAGCCTCCTGAGCCTCCGGTGGAAGCCACTCACCCTGCCTGTGCTCTGTCCCCAGGAGCCTGACCAGGTTTACGAGGGCATCACCTTCGACGACTTCCTGAAGGTGCGTGTCTGGGGGGGGTGGGGGGAGAGTCCTGGGTGTGGCCGAGGTGGGATTCGAGGGGGAGCCAGCTGGTCAGGAGACTGGCATCTCCGTGGAAAGGGTCGGGCCTGGGCGTGGCGCTGAAAACAATTTAAACTGGTTTTACTTGCTTGCTATTGACAAAGTCATATTCCCGCGCGGCCAGAACGTTTGGAGGGTACAGAGGGTGCAGTGCCCCTCGCCCTTCTCAGAAGCAGTGCCAGCACGCAGCGGGAAGCAGGGCTCCGGGTGTCTGTGCCCAGATGCGGACCAACTCCTGTGGTCCTGCCCTGGCTTTCCCCGCCTGCGCCTGCGCCTGTGCCTGCGGGTGGCTTCGCTCCTCCGGCCTCCCTGGCGGGCTCCCCGCTCCCCCTAGTGGACACTCAGGCCTTGCTCATCCTTCCTGCTACACACGACTCCCAGTTGGGAGCTGGGACCCCTCGCGGCTCTGGCAGGAGATACCCCGTTGCAGGGAGATGAGGCCCCGGCCCTCTGACTGGCTCTTTGGCCCCGAGCACCCCAGCATCGCGGTTGCCAAGGCCTTTCTGGGAGTTGAGGAAGAGGGGAAGTCGGGGGGACTGTGCATGGAGTGGGGCCGGCCCTGCTTCCTTCTGCAGCTCTGACCTGGCCCGTCACCAGCCCATGCCCGGCCCGTGGTCTCCTTCGCCTTCCCAGGGCACCACCCGGGGCTGGGCAGGCGAAGGTGGGATACCTGTCCTTTTTGCCTGAGAAGCCAGCTTCCTCCCCGAAGGCTGGCCACCGCCATGCCTCCAGCCTGGTGGGCCTTTCCTGCTCGGCTAGCGCCTCCCCACCCCGAGCTCCACAGCTTCCTTGGTGACCCATTGCCACCTGCCTTTAGCAGGAACCGTCCTGGTGCCCAGGTAACTTTCCCGGGAACGTCCTGTTCACCCAGCGAGGGCCAGAGCCTCCCGTGGGCCCAGGTGTTTCCTCTGGTCCTCACCCCACACCTAGGACACCTAGGACAGCTGCAGGGCCCGGGAAGCGCGTGGGCATCGTGCGTGTGACAGTGGCCTCCCTGTGGCTTTGGCTTCCCCGTTTCCAGCCCCCGGCTGTCCCTGGAGACGCTGTGGTGACAGCTTGAGAGCTTGACGTTCTTACATAAGCAGGGAGCCGGTGAGAAGTCACCGCCCACCACATCCCTCCGTGCTGTTAGCATCCCTCCCGCCCTCGCTCCCTTTGGGGCCCTCTTGGGGGAG